TTAGTGAGGTAAGATTGCCAAACAAACCTGTTCTATCGTCGCCATCGGTGCTTGCCTAACCTCCGCTTCTTTCCATGAGTAGATTATAGGATTTATAGCGGAATTCAGGCACACATGAGACCCCACGATTTTCGTAAGAAAAGGTGACTCGAATCCATTTTCAACGAAGAACGTTTTCTCCACGCCAAAAGGAAGAAAGCAAACAAGCAATGTCAGCTGCACCCACAAAGCACTTTTCACTGTCTTCCGGTAGCGCGAATTGTTCAACTGGCTCCCATTATTGCTAAGTTGTCTATGTTGGATATGATCACGGACTCGGGCCTGCTGATTAAAAAGCATTACAAAAATCGTAATATAGCAGAAAGTCGAGCTTGCTATATTCAACACTGTGCTTATAAGCGACATCATGAGAGCTATGTTAAAACTGTGAAGGGCAATCAATTCAGTAGCACTGCTAACGAGCCAACATAAGGCCAGGATTAACCGCACTCGTTTCAAAGTCACCTTCTGTCTGTATCTAAGACCAAGTGTAAGAGCGAGAAGTCTATCCATACTTATTATTGTCAGCGTAAGAAGAGATACTCCACATAAGATGGGCCCGAGAATCCAGGAACCAAGAAGGCCATATAAACAAGTCTCGGTATTTTCATTTGAATTATCAGTGGTAATACGAACTGGTTGGAGGAAAAGGCCCACAGCAAGATCGGTATAAGCAAGGCACTCAAAGAGGAGTTTCGAAGGTGGGTGAAGAGCTCGAGCTGAAACATTCCGAAATGCAACGAGAATCAGAATGTTTCCTAAGATGGCTACGATAGAACTTGTTACATTTAATGCAGAGTGAAATACCAGTTGATATCTATCCAAAGAGATTGTGCATTCGAGATAACCTTCAGGAGTTGTTTGGTTGACGTTTATAGATGCGTTTATCATCCTCTGAAATAAAATTGCATGGTATCTGCACAAACAGTTCAATCTTAAAAGGATAATGTGTTTATAACTAAACTGAACCTTCTTTTAACAGTTAAAGCTCAGAATTTTTCTTTTTATCAAACAATTCATAAACTACCTGTGGTGAGTGATAGGAAAAGCAAATGAACTGATTCTTATAGGTCATTGTCAGCTTTTTAAGACTTGACCCCGGACTGAGAGTTTAATACCTTTGTACCCTCTCTGAACTAAGAAGCTACTTCACCAAAACAAGAGATGAAATAGATGGGAGAGATGGTAACATTCAATTCATTTTTATCAAATTTAATTTGTATTTTTATTAGCTAAATGTCTCCTTAGATTGCTCTTTTTTCCAGCTTAGTTTTCATTCGGTTGACTCCTTGTCCATATTCCATTGTCTTGAAAGAATTAATAAAATAGATTCAATTTCGTTTGTTTGGGTCCAGCAAATGTTACTCAAGCATTTATCTACAAGTCTTGCTGTTTTCTCACGACTGGTGTTTTTTGATACGAAGCGGTTGAAGGCAAATACCCTCGCGAAGATCAGATCATGCTAGGCACTCAAACAATAATTTCGAAGGTGGGTGTAGAGCTCAAGATGGAACCCTAATGCAATGAGGGTAAGGGTGTTAATGGCTGTAACGCAAATGGTTGTGTTAAATGCCGCGATAAAAACCAATTGATTTCCATCTAATTTATTCCTGCACCAAATGTAACCTTCGGCTGTTCTTTGATTTCCATCCGTTGATATATCCTCCATCATTCTGACTGGTTTATGTAGCTTATAAGGGGATGGATCGTTATGAAAATTTCGGCGGAAGCCTAAGATTTTCTTCTCATCACGTGAACTGATCTGTTTTTATGTAAAATTTAAAGGGGTTTTTTAATTGTTATGGATTTAGCTTTTGGATCTGACAGTGCAGAACTTTCAGTGGTGTTGCAATAACTTGTAATCAAATGATTAGTGGAGGTCTCCCATCAATTCATTTGGCCAGACTGCTAGAGTGAAAAAGGAAAGAACTACCATCAATTTATTCTAACCAGTTCTGAGCAGTTTCTACTCTCCATTTTTCATGTCCTTTTAAATAGCAATAAATGGATATTTAATCGTTGAGAACCACATTCGTAGGATATATCGATTTCTTCTTGTTTTAGTTTAGCACTCATCAATTCAGCTTTGATAAAACAATCTACTGTGCTGTCTTTCTTCTCTGATGACTCATATCAATTTTAAATTGCTTCAATGGAATTCAATGCTTGTCTACTGAATCAATGTCCCCCAGGATTTCTTTTTTTTTCGAAAAGACTCTCTATTTTCCATTACTTGTTCTCAAAGCAAAGAAAGCTAGAAAACAGCTGACAAACTGAGAAATGAAAGAAATGAGAAGCCGCAAAAACTAAAGATGAAAAAATATATACATAACTGCTACTAACGTTGTAAGCACCCTTGCCGTTCACGATATTTTGTTCTTTTGCTCCCACACAGGGTCTATGAGTAAATAATGGGAAGTTTGAAGTGGTCACTTTGTTGAATGTGATTGCCGTGGTTTTGAACTGTGTGTAAGGTTGGGTTTTAAAAAAAGGGGCCACAAAAAGAAATTAATTAGTTTCACTAACGAATCCGGTGGCTATCAGTTTTTTCCAGGAAGATCCTAGACTTTTGTCACAATTATGGAATCATTCCACGTCAAAATAAATGAAGCCAAATGAAAGAGCGTACATAAAAAAGACAAAAAACAACAACAACAACAAAAAAAACCAAACAAAAACAGGGCGACTATTTTGAAGAAGATGGAGAATGCATATAACGACAGCAACCGAAACTGCTGTTGTAGACTTTATTCCGTGCTCGGCGATGGGTCTGGATGGGAAGCAAATGGTACTTCTCTCAACATTTAACGTAGCGATTTGTATCTCAGCCATTCTGGAAAACATTCTGATTCTCGTTGGTTTCACCCCTGCACCCTCCTTCTAAGCTTTTATTTGAGTGCCTTGCTTGTACAGATCTTGGTGTTGGTTTCTTACACTAACCCATTTATATTGCCTCTTTTATGCTTCACAAAAACGCTAAGACTTGCTCTTATATCAAACTGGCGTCGTGGATCGTGGCTGTCACTTTCTGTGGAACTCACATTTAAGCTACGATACAGGCAGGTGGTGACTCTAAGTCGAACACAGTTTATTATAGCTACTCTTTGGGTCGGTAGCAGTGCTAGTGGATTGGTAGCCCTTTATAATGGGAAGATTTCTTTCATTATTTCGTTCCTAGGTACTCTGGCATTTATCACCATCTCAGCATTCTGCTATATTATGATATTTATAGAGCTTTTCACCATCAAGCTCAAATTCAAGGGCAAGTCCTCAATGCACAGCATAATAACGTAGGCAACCAAATGAATATCTCGCGCTACACAAAGACAGTCTCGAATGCTCTCTTTGTGCAACTGACATTGCTTGTATGCTTTACTCCTTTTGGCGTGGAGAGAGGGTTCATTGCTACTAGTAAAGTACTACTTTAGTTGCGCTGAACTCTACTCTTAATCCAATAATCTACTTCTGGAAAATGAGGGAAGTACGACATGCAGCGAGGACATCAACTGAACAACTTTGTTGCCGAAGTCGAGTTCCCTAATAGTTTAGTAAAATCCTCAACACTCCGTCACTTACAGTCAGCTCACTTTTTACAAGAGGCCTGAAAAGGCACCAAAATTATCTATAACGTAAGAGCAAGAGATTAATGTCTTTATAAGTGGTATTTGTTGTATTTTAATTCTGTTATAAAGAAGTACACGAAAAAGCTCCCTTGTTTGTATACAAGGGGATTCAGAAAACCATTGGGGACCCCAAGAAACCTATTGGCTACGCAACGTCTGCTGCTCAAGAAACGGGGGGGAAATTTCCATCTGTTCCCAGAGGAACTTTATTTGTACCTACGAAAAAACTTGTGTTTTCGTTCCTCTTTAATTAATTATTTACCCTTTAATTATAAAGGGTAAACCCAACAAGAAAACATAATACGCCAGCGATACGATAAAGGCTAATGATACCCAGATCATTAAAAATAGATGTCCTTTCTTGCATCTTGGATCTCAGTTTGGAATGTGTCGTAATACGTACCACGTATTCCTCAAAAATTCCATGGGTTAAACTTATAATTATCTTTTGAGTCTTTTTTTTTCTTTCACTGCACAAAGATATATTCCATGGCTTTGATATGCTTCTCTCCATTATCTGGAACCCTCGGGTTCGCCTCGTTTCCGCAAGTGTTGGAGTCACCAGGTCTACCTTCCGAACCAAATCCAATCCTTGAGTTGCATGAGTGGCATTCGTTTTCAAAGTTGCCAACAATACCAATCCTTGCTTTGGAATATTTGGCAATACCACCACCTGCATTAAACCCTTACTTGTTGCAGTTGAGTTGCAAAGAGGCCCTTGAACCAATCAGTGACTTCCATGTTTGACGACCCAAAGAAATGGCATAGAGTTCTCCGTCAGCAATCAGAGAGTGCGAGGAGTCACCCTCTTTGTTGATGACAGTGAACCTGAGATCTTCATACCGAGACAGATCTTGGCGAAGGACGTGCTCCAGTAGGTAGGTAGCTTTGATTCCTGCTCTTCAAAAACAGTCTTGCCTCCTACTTGTTGAATTCCTCATAAACAGTCCAGTAAGGGGAACTATAACGAAAGGTTGCCTGTGGTAAAAAACAGGTCATCTGTTTATTTCTCCAAGAACGTTCGATACATCAAACAATTTACACCTAGTTCACACGTGAAAAAGACCGCTTGTCGCTACGCAATATGCGTGGCATGTCGCTTACTCCAGATGCTATCGATTTTTTTTTTCTGTTAAGGTGTAAAGTGTCGTTATCAGTGGCATTTTTATATCAGCTTGCTACACAATATCATATGGATCATAAAAGTTTTGTGAGATCAGAATTTCTCAGATAAACTGATAATGTCCAATCTGCCTATACTGTGTATGACAATATTACAAAGGGAAACAGTGTTTCTTTCTTTTTTTTTTCTTACGCAAAAAAAGTTGTTAAACATAAAATTGATCAGATTGCACCTCTTTACGTGTACAGAAGCTAGGCGCTCTCTAATATTGGAAATATTTCAACAATCGAACAATCAATCCCGAGCCATTTTATTTGACGCTGTCATAGAGATTACACATTTCGATCGCGTTCGAAACTATCTTGACCATTTTAGAGGTACCAAATATATAAATATTTTAAGAAGTCAAGCTTTTGAATATGCACCTTACGGCCGTCAATATTCAAAACCGGCGTCCATCCACCATCTTCACATCCAAAATCACCCATGTGACAGAGAACAGAGATTGGTTTGGAGTCAACAAGAAGGGTAACCGCACTACTCATATCGGCGCTATTTTATGAGAAACAATAACAAATATGACAGTCATAGATATAATTTTGTCAGAAATAATAATCAATCATTATCATTATGATTAAAAAAAAAATTGAATGATAATCATGATGATGATGATGACTTCATGATCTTAGTCCCAAACAATGTGATTCTGACTCTAGTCGAAGAGACAATAGTAATGGTATATAATTGCTATCGATGAATGGATGAGTAAATGGATAAAAAATTGTAGTGAAAACACATGAACAAGTAGACACATCTATTATTTTATAGGACGTGGTCGATAGGTGAACGTGTATCATTTAACCAAATGCGTCATTAATCATTACGAAGTGTTGCGTATATTGAAGCCTCCGCTTGACACCAGAATATGCTCGGGTATCTTCTCCACGAAGCAAAAAGCTTTTCGAGGGCGAAGAAGTTTTGTATCTGCTTACGTCACAGAAGGCCTCACGGCTTAAACCAACTTCTAAAGGAAAATTTCATTTCAATGGAAGCGAGTCCTAAACATTTGAGCTCATTCCATCGTTTACTGGCTTACAAACAAGCGCAAAAGAGTGAAAATATTTGAAGTAAGGTAATGACTTAAT